TTTTTTGTATTAGATTATTGTTATAAAAACAAAGCGCCATAATGCTCAACTTGTCTTATCTTTTTTTTTTAACTATTATTATGGATTAAGACAAAACAGTGGATGGAGCAGGGAAATCAGAGAGAGAGAGCGAGAGAGAGAGAGAGAGAGAGAGAGAGAGTGAGAGTGGGGAAGGACATGTGGGTAAGGAGTCACAGGCTGGATTCAAACCCGAGCTGCATGCTTCGAGGACAACAGCCTCTGAACATGGGGCGAGCAAACTAACCACTATAGGCCACCAGCGCGCCCAACTTGCATCGGTAGCTTTAATTTCTGTGGTCTTATGATCATATAACAGCCTCATGAAGGCTCACTCCATCATTTGTCTCTAAAACGCTGATGAAAGCCTAGAGATGTAATGTGTTCGTTTTCTTTAGATGCTTTTTCTCGACTCCTGACGCTTTTCTGCTGTATTTTCTATCGTTCTGAAAATAACATTCAGTTTTAACCTGGTAAAGAAGAGTTCAGGCTTCAGCAGACACCTTGTGAAAAGAGAGAATTGATTTGGCTTTCACATGTATTTGCACATCACAACCTTACTTTACATCCATGTTTATTATGTTAATTTGTGCTTAATTAAATCTTTTCTTACATGAATTAAACATGCAGGTAGTTTTTATTATTTTCTTCGCTGGTATTATTTTGGAAACGGGGTTAGTTTCTTGTTTAACTGTTTATCCTTCTATCCATTTATCTAACCCATACCCAATCATTCTCATCAGTATTAAAATGAGCTCACAGATAACAGTCTCTCTGTCAATTAGCTGGATGTTTTGTCGTCCATTCACGCGTGTTTATCCGTCCTAAATGTGACTACAAAGGAATTAGGGTGTCGCTGTCGGGGGTGTGCTGAGACGAGATGACATTTTGGGGTCACTTGCCACAGAAAGACCTCAAACATCAGCGATTTTTTTTTTGGGGACAATCACAACCTCCTAGAGAGTGCGTCTGCTTATTCTTTGTCTACTCTTTATATATCTTTCACATGTTTGTTTTTAGCAGAATGCAAACTCAAGTGCAGATCAGTAATCAGCTGCAGTAAATGGACATTCACATCAACCACTCACTAGTTGTTCCAAACCTCTCTTGGACTGAGAGAGCAGAGATTTTGATTCCAGTTCTCACATTGAGCTTTACGAGAATACAATTCTGTGGCTTCTCCTTTCCATGCTCAACTCCTGTGAGTATTTATATCTCCTTTTGCTAAACTATGAAATCAGGCCATCAATAAACTGCCTGTAAAGAGCTGGAAGAGTGGGGGGGAAGTTGTTTTGTCTGTAGAGACTGCGCTGTGTGTGTGTGTGTGTGTGTGTGTGTGTGTGTGTGTGTGTGTGTGTGTGTGTGTGTGTGTGTGTGTGTGTGTGTGTGTGTGTGTGTGTGTGTGTGTGTGTGTGTGTGTGTGTGTGTGTGTGTGTGTGTGTGTGTGTGTGTGTGTGTGTGTGTGTGTGCATCTGCCCAGCTGTGATACATCCCTGTGGGTTCAAACACTTGGCACAGCAGACAAAAATCTGTGTGGCAGTTTGGTGAATGTGCAGCACAGACGAGCCTTCAGAGAGACTTGGCTTTTCCTTTTCAAGTCCTTTCTGTTGGCTCTGTTATAATAGCATGTTGACTGAATTAAGGTACCAGTGTAGGCTGTAATTAAGTTGGGAGTTTTCTCCTGGGCCAACCAGAGGCAGTCTCCTCGTGTGAAGTGATGCAGTAAATTGAAGATGACACTCCAGAAGTATATTCTCTTTTATTCATGCTTTTTATAACTGATCTGTTCTGTGCTCCCACTGTTAAATATAGTCTTTTCCCTCAGCTGATTCTGCAGCTGTTTTCATGTGTGTGTGACTCTGCAGAGTCTTGGTACACTACAAAGAGCTGCAGCAGCACCAGCAGCTGCTGAGTCACTATAAGCTTCTCCTGGCTTGCTCCTGGCAATGGCAATAATGGGCCTTTTGAAGTTCTGCTCTGATTAAGACCGACTGTCATCAACTAATTCAAGACATTCTGTCTGTGCTGAGATCTTTTAACTAGATTAATTCCTATTTTGCCCTTGATGTGTCTTTTTTTATATGCGTAAACTCTCTATGCAGGCATTATGATTTATTTTGTTTATTTGCAATACCAGGAATTGTAGCATCTCCTGCAATGTTAGCAGACACCTGAACCCATCTCCCTTGATTTGCCTTTTTTTTATTGTCAAGGCCACGGAGCCCCTGAAGTCCCATAAAGAAAAAAAACCTTTCTACACACAAGATAATTACATTGTGCACACAATATATTAACATGTATGTGCGCACAACTTAATATCTTTTGCACACATACTTTTTGGGACTTTAGAGGCTCCGTAGAAGGCAACCATGTATCAAGGTCTGTCTTAGCAGGGCGGTGAAACTTCCTTTGCAGTTCTGAATATTCTTACAGAAAATGTATCAATGCATTTGAGCATAAAAGAGATGTGGGCTCATACCATTATAAAGAACTGTTAAAAGGACCATTACCATGAAATATTCACGAGGGATTCTGTTCCTTTCCATTCAGCTCATGATGCCTTTTTCATGCAAAGTAAGACCCTCACCATGTAGTGTAATCAACGCACTCCCCAAATTAAATCATGCATGATACACTGCGTTATGCAATATGGAGAAAAAGGCCTTTGGCATTCAAGCTAAGTTGGAAAGATGTTGCATAAGCCACATTTGCCATTTCTACATTTTGGCTGGTCTAATATCACCCTTGAGGACTTTACTGTTGAGGGTAAGAGGTAGAGTGGCTTCCTGATGAGCTGAAAATTGCACCATCCATCACTGGAAGGCCAGGCTTCATGAAAATCTATCAAGAGATATTCTCCCAAGGGTGCCAAAGCAAAAAGCCTAGGCCATCGCAAACAACCACTCCTTCATTTTGGACGTATGGTCAGTTTATGCAGTCAGCAGTTTATGCATGCCAGCATATTACTGTGGTCCAAAACTGGAAGTGAAGAGAAAACTATTTCAGCTTTAAATATGATTCCACATTCTAGACTAGCATTTCTATTCTGCGATGGTTTCCTTACTCCCTCTAAAGGTCATTTTCCTCAGGGATTAATGGTTCCACTTTGAGCATTTATCAGAATTTTGATCAGGTCTGAGGATTTCTTCTCAGAAGTCAAAAACAGTAAATGTCAGATGAATACATTTCACAGGTTTCTTGTATGTGGGATACACAGTGAAACATGCTGGCTTGGTAATTTGTGTTTTCAGGTAAAGCAGCCTCAGTTTCATGGGTCTCAAATTTCCTCGTGTCGGTACTTAAAGGTCATATCATCTGTCCATATAGTATTGATTTTTTTTCTAAATAAAGACCAAGGTTAAATTTAATATCCTAAAGCAGCCACAGCTCTTCCTACAGATTCAGTCAAGTATCTTAAAGTGCTGTATGGTCTATTTATGATGTGACCTCTGCTCCAGAGGAGACCAGTGCTACAATGACGCATTTGCTGATGAATGGGTCAACAATAAAACGACCTTGTGAGCGGATTGAATATTTTTTTATTTCCTCACAGATCAATTTCTATTTTAGCCATTCAGGGCACATGAAGTCCAACACAGTTAAAAAAAAGAAGTAATTCCATTGATGTAATGCCAATGTTAAAGTACAGTTCTTAAATATGGCTGCATGTGTGCAGCAAAGTCATGTTTGGTTTCTTCTTCTCTCTTTCTGCTGCTACTCAGTCAAACTTGGCAATACTTTGATACTCTACAATACTGAGTGTTTTAAAGTGATCCAATCTCTGTTATTTTAATGATCAATGGTGTTGAAATGTACCAAAGCCTTTTGAAAAGATACATATTTTCAATCATATTTAAAAGCAAAAACTGTCGTGAGTGAGATACTGTTGCGTACTGAGATGTTGCCAACATAATTGTCCAATTTAGCTTGCATGCAATTTTTGGTAATTAAGAAAATATGCACTATTGGGGTTAGGGTTGTTTTTATTGTATCGAATCAGGTATAGTAATAGCTAAATCCTAGCCACCAGACTATATTCAAAGTGATGATGATAAAAGATTGACAGGAGACCATGTGAATCAAAACAGCATCTCTTAAACTTTTTTTATTCTGAAGTTGTGGATAAGCATGAACATTTAAACTCACTCATAAATCAGATTGAGTTTGTGTATGACAGCAGATTTATTTTAATCCCGCTCCAGTGCCCACTCCTTGTAATTTTTCTCTTGTTTCAAGTCCATAAATCTTTCTGTCAGTCAATCACTAACTTTAGTGTTTCCTCCACTGCAGGTCAGTCTCTGTTGAACTCCACACACCATCCAATGAGATTTCTTGGAGATGTATCAAGTACAACCGGGTCACCACCATCAGCCTTACCAGCCTCACATCACACTGCCTTTGAGAGCCCAGACTCACCCGGTGCCCTGCCATCCACTCCTGAACCTAACCGTGAAGTCAGGACTGCTGACATTGAGCATTTTCAGTGGGAACCTGTTGCTTCTGAAAACTCCAAATCCGTCATGGCAAGTGACCTTGTTGCAGAAGAACCACATCCTCTTTCCACTCCATCATTAAACCCCTCTGAACCTGTGTTTAAGTCGAGTTCACAATTTGATGCAGCAGCTAATCTCTCTGCAGACTGGAAGCCGGCCAGGACAAATTCTGCCAAGCAATCTTCCCTTCTCTCCCCAACTCCTACAAGAGCCCACATTCAGCCTCAGTCAAATACATCAACATCGTCTTTAAGCCCTTCTGCTACCATAAGGTCCACAACAACTCAGCCTAGTCTGCATTCTCAGCAGGAAGCAACCTTTAGTGAGCAGCAGGATGTTGCATCAAATCAAGCACTGACGGCCTCTGAACCTGGTCAGCCTCTTGAGACCCCTGAACTGACTTTGGAAGATTCTCTAGCTGATGAACCTTACCAGATAAGCCCCAGTATTGCCCCCTCTGAGGAGAACAAACAAGCTTATGACACCAACATGCAATACAACCCAGAAGAGTTTCTGGCCCCTGGCTACAATGTGCCTTTCATCGCCCCCCACACTAAATCGCCAACTGAGGTCCCTCCAGAGGACTTCTACCCATCCAACACCATGGAGCTGGACTGGGGGTCTGGAGACTACTTGGAGACAATGTCATTCCTAAATCCAGATGGTGAGGACTACTCTATGGTCACCAAGTTGCCCTCTGACTCGTACGATACTGAGGACTATACAGAAAGTTATGATACATCCTTTCCGTCCAGAGTGGGAATATCTCCATCGTCCTTGAATCATCTTCATGTCTCAACTTCTCTCAGCGTCATGACAGCATACAGCACCATCAATCCTACTAAATCCCTCAGTCCTTCTTATTTTTCATCTTCAATTCACTTTACACTCGAACCAACTCCCAGGATTAACAGTGATATACCTGAAGCATCGGACATAGATTGGCCTGATCCGTTCACGATTCAGCCGACGGATGTCCTCCTACCTGACATGAACAGCTTGGAGTATTACACCATTCAGTCGAACAAAGACGACAACGATTCAGATGCTAAAGCTGAACAAAGAGGGAACGTAACTGTGGTGTCCATCAGTGCTACTGATATGACACCCACAAACAGCCTCAACAATAACACCACACCGCCTGAGGATGAGTCCTCCAGTGATTCTTCTGGGTTCGAGCCTCATGACGAATCAACCACTGAGGAGAGTCCTCAGCTGGTCAACGTCTCTGAGGCTTCTGAGCCTTTTCTGGATCCTTCGATTGTCCCAAGCCACTTTTTTGATCCCACCTCCTCCACCTGGGGAAGTCAGATGTCCCCAACGTATCAGTCAGCCCCAACACTGACTGTTGGCCTTGATAGCATTGTATCAACAGAAGCTATGCTACCCACTGCCACGCCTTTGCTACCAGCCGATGTAATGTCATCTTCCTCTTTGACAGACGTCCATTGGTTTGTTACAGAATCATTCCTACAAAGTACTATACACACCACTCCTGTCTTAAGTGCAACCATAGCCTTCTCCCCTCTTCCCATTGAACCTGCTGCCAACACCACTGATACAACAACAAAAGACTCAACTCTTACGACTGAAGAAACTCTAAATATCACTGTGGTTTCAACTGAGCCCACATCTAATGTTTCTGTGGTCCCCCCGGTCGTTTTGAGCGATCAGGGGGTGACTGAAGATGGATTTGACATCTCAGCCGCAATGACCTTTATCCCAACAAGCAGTGGAGCTAATACAGTTTCTGCTGTGCCCACAACTAAATCTGCCACCACTACTTCTCATCAAGACACAACTACAGTTCCTCCCACCACTGAGGCCTCAAGTAGTGTCAACATCATCTCTACCACCAGTGAAAAGACCACAACAATTACAGCTACAACATCGAGACAATACCTCTGCAGCCCGGAGAGGCCTTCTTATTTAGTCAAAATCGGTAAGTTTAACATGCTTTTTGTATTATAAAATGTGACCTCAACTTTGATTTATATTTGAAATAATTAGCAAAAATCAGAATAATCAAAGAATGTGATAAGACCAACTGTTCTGATGCTTTCCTCTGAAGGGTTTCCTTCTGCGGCCACTATTGGATATGCCAAATCTCAAGTGAGAGACATACTGAAAGTGGAATTCAACAAGTCAGTGGAGCTGCAGGTAAATATATCTCAACAGGGTCAAACTTTTTATTAATTTACCTTTCAAAAAGGAAGCACATGCAATGGCAGCGTAGACGCTCTGTGATGTAAAATACGCTCTCTGTCTATGTTGGTGTGTGTTGTTGTGTTGTGTATGTACTATATTTGTGAATGTGTGTGTACATTACAGTTGTGCATTTGAACCATGGAGGCCAGACCACTTCCTGTGTTTCATATCAGTAGTTCAGATGTAAACACTCCACAAGAGTGGTCACATCAAGATCCACAAGACTGAGTTGACCTTTAAAAACCATCAGCTGCTTACTCAACACAAACCACTGAGCTTAAAGAATAAAACCAATAAGTGATTGGTACCACAAGTGATTCATCTGTCTTCTTTCCCTGTGAAGGTTGTGGATCCCCCACCAAAGTTTGTGTTTCGGGTGGTATCTGGTCCGGTTGTATACACAGCCGTATCTGTCATCAATGCTCTGCGAAGGTCTGGGCGCCGCTTCCTGTCTGTGTCTCCAAACTGGACAACACCAGATCGTAAATATCAGATCCACACAGGTAAATTACCTTTCAGTAAACTGTCTAGATAGATCAAGTTTAAATACTCAGGTTAATCACAAACTAATCTAAAACGGTGACTAGCTAAGACTATAATTGTCTTCGCTCCGCCCAGTGCTGCAGTTTGTTCCCAGTCACATTGATGTGCGCCACTGCAACTTCAGTGAGAGCGTAGAGAAAGGTTTGACCATGGCCTTCGCAGAAGTACGCCGGCGCTCAAAGGAATCAACCAACTTCACAGTGCAGGTGAGTGGGACCAGGATCCAGGGAAGACTGATTAGCCTCAAACTTGCATTCAACCTGATGAGGATATTTTCATAAAATTGCTAATTACATGTTGACCTGAAGCCCAAAGCTCAATAACGTATGGGTAAATAGCTGCAAACCAAAATTATCATATTACCCTTCTGTTGAAAATGGTAAAGCTGATCAGTTCTTTACCGTTTGTGAAAGACTGAATTTTGTTTGCTAACTAATCTGACCTCAGAGCTCCTCCAGTCACTTCACCAGTTGATGCCAGCTGAAGGGGGTTGAGAAGGCTTACTATGATTATGATATACGTAAGCAAATAGGAGCTGTCATGTTCAGTCACGTTGAGTATTTTGTATTTAAGTGAACGAGTGGTGACAGAAAAGGTTGCCTTTGGAGTCAACAGAAAGCTATTTTTTCCAAATAATTAATCGCTGAACAACCTAAATAACTCGAAATCGCCGATTTTCTTAATCGCCTATCCTTCTCCATTGCTGCTCCCACCCACTGGAACTCACTCCCAAAAAACATTAGAGACTCCCCCACACTCACTTCCTTCAAGAAATCCCTAAAAATTATCCTCTTCAACATCGCCTACAACTCCCATCCTCCTCCCTCTACATTATTTCTTCGTTGTACTGTCCTTGTCATCTTTGTTTTGTTTTTGTTATAATTACTTGTCAGAGCGTCTTTGAGTATCTAGAAAAGCGCTGTATAAGACTCATTTATTATTATTATTATTATGGTTACATCATCATAGGAGGCATCATAGCCAAAACACCACTTAACCCCATTTATATTCCTCAGTTCTCACTGTTGGATAACATCCTGACAAAATGCCCCGAGCACCTCAATCGGCTCTTTTCAACCAAGAGAAGTACATGCTACACTCATTCAAACTAGCTTTTTATGTTTGAGCACAGACAGTGAGCAAAAGAAGCTGATCTCAATGTTTCAGTCACTGCACAGAGGATATGACCGTACAGATAGTCCATGTACCTTCATCTTCATCTATGATGTCACTGCTACGTGATCTCTTCTGGTGTATGACCGATACAGCACCAGTCATCCTGTCTACCACACTCTTAGTCTTACTATCACTCCCCAGGTTCATGCTCTAGTTGTTGAGTATTAAATGAGCTTTCACTTTGTTAGTAGAAAGCTTATTCGATATTTGTTTTAGTTGGCTTCTATAGAGTTGTGTGTAAACCTGTTACACTGCTGCCCGTATTATAGGCTTAAAGTTTGAATACATTTAGCACAGAAATGTTTTATGGAGGACTGGCAAACTGCCCTCGGCCACACTTTGCGTTCTACTTTCAAATCGTTGAAGCCAATAACAATCTGATTTTTTAATTGTAACTCTTTTAGAGGCTAAACAAGCTTTCCCAGAAACATCCAAAAAGAAGAAGTTTTGTAAATTGAGCTGTGTAACCTGAATCTGATGAACACAACATCTCTGTCCGATTCTTCTTTAGATCGTAAACATCACCTCGGCTGCTCCTAAGTATCAGGATCGACGGCTGGTGAGGCAGCCGGTGGACATCACCTTCACTGTGCGCGGGTCAAAAGGTTACCTGATGGGCTCAGAGGTCAGTAACGCTCTGATGAAGCTCACGATGGTGGAATTCAGCTATTACATGGCCTTTCCCGTCCTGCAGATAGCAGAGCGTGAGTACCACTCTGCTGTTCCTGCTTGCCTGTTATCGATGTTGCTTTCTGAGTGTTTTCTGATACTTATTTGCTGTCAACTAAAGGCCAAACAACTTCCTAATTCTTTCCTACAGCTTTTCATTATCCAGAGTTGAACACCAGCCATCTTCTCCGCTCTTCCTGGATTAAAACAGGTATCACACTTATTACGTTATTGGTGAAAAGCTGCTCCTTGTAGCCCAGTGAGAGTTGTGCTGATGAAAAATATGACCATAAATGTCCGTCATTGATCTTTTCTTTCATGCCGAGGATGAGGCATTGACAAGCTAACTAGACTAGGAGAGACTTAAATTTTGGTGGTGGGCTGACTGACATTCAGTATCATTGAGTGTGTGTGTGTGTGTGTGTGTGTGTGTGTGTGTGTGTGTGTGTGTGTGTGTGTGTGTGTGTGTGTGTGTGTGTGTGTGTGTGTGTGTGTGTGTGTGTGTGCGCGCGTGTGCGTGTGCGTGTGCATGTGCATGTGCATGTGCGAGTAAGTAAAGCATTGTGACAGACGGAGCACGTGATGACATGATAACGAGCGTTACCGAGCTAATGGTGGCGAGTGGCTATGGTCTGCATGGTATCATGATATTAGTACAAAAACAACAAAAAAAGGAGCACACTCGACAGTAAACACAGTATCAGGTGCACGACTGCAACAAGACTAAAAAGAGACAGAAAAGTCAGCACACTAAATGTCTTTTAAGTTTCCTTTATCTGGGTGAGAGAAGCAAAACAACAACTGACGAGTTTCAGCACTAAGCCTTCATCAGCGAAACTTAAAGGACATTAAGTCTGCTGACTTTTCCGTCTCTTTTTAGTCATGATATTAGTAACCTTAGTAAGTAAGGCTACGGCTTCTTTTTATAAAGATGTACAAATAGTTGTTTGAAATTTTACATCTGTTGCTCTTTTGTGCTCAAATGTCTCCAGGGATAAACATAAAATACTCCTACCACACTGTCAAAGTATCCCACTAAATTTAGTCCAGGATTCAGAGTCTGTCAGGATGTTTAATACTTAACATATTTATAGTGCAGTCATGAGTTTCCTTTTGAGTGTTTTCCCAGCATAATAATTTTACAGTTTGGCTTCCTGAATTAGTTTAGGAGAGAATACACATTGACTGAAATGTTCTGACTGTTTATTGACTAAATCTGAACTAAAATAGAAGGTTAAAAATGACACATATTTGACTTGAACTTGTCAAATGGTTAAGACTAAATCTAAACCGAGCTGACATTAGAACACTGCTTCTCTCTAAACCTGAGACCCTTTGTGTTGATTCCTGTTTATTTTCTGTCGTCTGTGTACAAAGTGCTCCTGGGTGTGATGGACGAGAAAGTGGGTGAGAGGACCTTCCAGGCCAGCATGGAGCGCAGGGTGGCCATGTTGCTCGGGGAGGCAATGGGATTAGTCAGACGTGTAAAGAGAGCCACCACCGTAGGAAACAGCAGTGTTCAGGTAAGTTAACCAAATAATGGATTTATTCATGACTTAAATCTGTGAGTTTATTAACATCAAGGAGAGCCTATGGAGCAGTAACAAAATATATGTTGTTGTGCTACATTCTTCAGCCCTATTTCCACCCAGCGGTCAGGTACAATGTGATTCAGTTTGGTACAAACCCTGATCTTGCTTGCGTTTCCACAGCTAACCGTACCTTAACACATCACTAAATCACAACGGCACGACACAGTGTGAATAAATCCAACAAAGAAGAAGAACGTGACACATTAAACATAGATCACTGATTCTTAGGAAGGTCAGCTTCTCTGAGGCAAAAAACAAAAACACCCTTGAAATTTCTCTCTCCAAATCCAGAGAATATTTCAACATGGTGCGTTGCACAGGCAGTGAGGATTCTTTCGACCAATCAACGAGCTGCTGTGTCTAGCTCCGCCTTTTAGGGTCGGGTCGGTACGCTTGGCAGCCCAACAGAAGGGGAGTAAAAAAGTAGGACGGTGCGGATCAGTTTTTTTGACTGTGCCAATGAATATGTACCGTCCTGAACCAAACTGAACCGGACCGCCTGGTGGAAACAGGTTACATCAGGGCTTTTTATGACCACAGATTGCTCAACGCTTCATACAGTCATAGGTGCGCTGCCTCTTTTCTTCTTTGTGGATACATGCAGTATAACATGAATAATATAATCAGAGGTTTCATTTCTTCTGCTTTATGCAACAAAACTTACAGAAGTCTTAAACAGGCGAATTACCAAAGGATTACTCTCTCAATCTTCAAAGAGCTTCCTTTCTTTTCCCGTTTACATCATTATTCTCTGATGCAAGCTCTCTCTCTCTAACTACCCTGGCCGAGTACTGAGGACTCATTATGTTTGTAACCACTGAAAGCCTTACTGCTTTACTAATCAGGCTCTAGCTTTTGTGGGTTTCGCTCGACACCTGCTCTGCTCAGCTCGGCTCCTCTCAAAAGGGGACAGGATAGGGCTCTGTCTCCATGGCAACAGCATCCTATTCATCCCAGGGAACAGCCCACCTAGAAGACCACAACCTCACGAGTCCTCGTTCGTTCCCCTCTTCCTCGTCTCTCCAGTCCTGTTGCTCGATGTGCGCTCCTGTGAGTCGCAGAGCTGCTAAGAGCCGATCAATTATTAATTGTTTCTCTTTTCTCCGCCTGTATCCTGCAGTTGGATGATTAAGACTGTGTCCCTGTTGTTGAGAAGGAAGACAGTATCGAGGAAGAGGTATAGAGACGGCAGAACGGATCCACAAATCAAAAGAACAGGAAGAGCGAAACACTGAGATAAAAGAGAATTGTTTGGAGAGATGAGAGATGCATGCTTGATGTGAACTCAGGAAGTCCGACTGCTTAAAAGAGGTCTCTAAACGGGGCGGTAGTCAGAGTGATAGATATCTTTTAGAAGAGTAGCACACTCATTTTCTCTGTCCTTCCTGCATCATTTTCTCCATAAAACCCACGCTGCAAATTCAGAAATCATCACATTTGTGATGAACCTTCAGTGGTCTCTTTCTTTGCTATAATTAACTCTCTAATTTTAGACTCTGGCATCCTTCCTACCTTCCTAAATAACACCTTTTCACGGTCATATATATGTGATAAAGAAGCCTCATTATGTTGTGTATGTTGTTATTATGTTGTGTAAGTTGCCTTACAGCCATGAAAGGAAATCGTCAGTACGATAGCTAATTTAGATTTCTCTTACATTTCAAAGACTCATCTTTGAGTGTCTGTTGGATAGAATGAGAAAAAGCGTCTGAACTTCAGAGGGAGTCTTTGTCTTGCTCTTTTGCACACACAGACAATTATAAGACTCTTATATAAGACAGGCGCCCTTAACCGTCAAAACAGCATCAGTGTGTTGTTGTCACCTGAGAGCGTACCTTATGAGTCTGCCCAGACACATGAAAGCGGAGGTGGAAATGGGGTCGTGCAGTAACACAGACATTGACGCTCCCGTCTTTCCACTCTAATAACCATGCATGGACTGGATTAGACCCTGGATGAGGGAGTCTGCCCAGCCGTTTTTCTGTGTCAAACCATGCATGACCCACACTTTACTCTTTCCAGTAATGCAGCCAGCAGACTGCTGCGCCTCAGGGCACCCACAGGGAGACTGCACTCACACACACAGACATACTAGAGATCATGGAGAAATATTTAAACAATGAAAACGCTATACTGGGAAAACACATTATGATACATCATATGATGAGTGTGCTATTTCTTTCTCTATATTTAAAGTTTTCATAAAGATATTGAAGGGTAGAGTCAGTAGAAATGTTTTTTGCAGCTTGTAAACACAACATTTAAATGTGGCCCCTCCTCCTTCACCAGAAGCTCACACTCCCTGTAGGATGTAGCGTGTAATGTTTACTGCTTGTACCTACTCTGCAAGCTACCGCACGCTAGCACAAGCTAACCGCTGGGGTTTGGAATCTGCCTGTCCAACAGGAAGCAGACCAATTCCACGTCCACAGGTTAAAGCCAACACAAGGTTCACCATCGTTTTGGAACGACATTTATCTGCTTGCCGTTTCGCCTCACTGTGATTATATTTTCTCTTCTTTGCCGCTACGATCACAGTCGACAGCGTCCAATTTCTGAATTATATCCACTCCTAAACTCACCTGCTGCGCTGTCATTGGCTGGAGGAAACACACCAGCTCCACCCAGAAACGTCCCAAGTCAACAAGAACAAAGCAGAACAGTAAAATCCAGTCAGAGGACAGAGTCTCTGCAGACACAGTCACCACCACACATGTATGGAGGCCTAGAAGAGATGATGGAGCGACACTTGTACTTTTGAATAAGTCTATATTTCATTTTTTAGGAAAAGCCTACCGACTCTATCTTTTAGTGAATTTTCAGTTTGAAAATCATCTGATCGAAGCGAGAAACCTTCAGTCTGTATTCTCACTGCAACATTTAACCAAGAGGTTGTTTAAAAAAACTCAAGTGAAAAAAGGAAACTATAGGCTGGCAGAGGAGTTTCTTCCTGAAGCAAACTCCAAAATGACTGAAATAGAAAATGCAGTATCACGCTCCATTTACAAGTCATTCTCCAACAAAACAAACAAATGGCAACAACCAACCAAAGAAAAGACGGACAATGGTCTGTAGGAAATAGAGCAATCAGACAGAGAACAGATAAATAAAGACATTAAGACTTTTATCAAGTTAGAAACCGTACAACTTGGGAGTCTCAGCCTGGATGCTTGAGCAGTTCAAAGGAGTGGAAAGGTGTTTTGAGTGTCTTCCTAAATCGTGAAATTTTCATGATTGAAAAAAGAAAAAAAGTTGCTGTTATGTCTGCTGACGATGAAGAGAGTGTTTGGCAGTACAGTAGCTCTGGTGATTGCTCTGTGTTATTCATTGACAGCCCAGAAATGTAAGGCCCATGCATTCTTTTCACTTACAAGTCAATGTGTGTCCAGTGAAAAATGAAATGTGTCCATCACACTTTAAACCCCAGACACAAACTGAGGACTTTCCTTCATGTTTAGGATGCTGTGAATCTCTCACTTGGTTGCAGAAATTGCTAGATTCAATCTTCTGAGGAAACAGATTTTTCTAAATCTTTGTCAGAAAAGGTCATGCTCCAGTTGCTCTAGAAAAATGCATCAGCAGGATGTAAATTATAGTATGAAGACATAAAGTGTAATGACAAAGGATGGCTTTGATATTTCTCCAGAAACCTGCTTCCTTAAGTTGTGTTCCTCTCTGTGACTATCACTCCATCTAATTTTTTAAGAGTATAACTCTTGATATGTGCATCAGTGTTTGGTTAAATATTACAAAGTATCTTTTTGTTTTTTTTACTTCTAAGGTTGTGAGCGCGAGTCGGCTGGTGGGTGCAGACAATCCGCTGGAGGTTGTGTATTTTGTGGAGAGTCCTAGTGGTCAGAGGATGCCTGCAGATCAGGCAGCAGACCTTCTGAACAGTCTGGACGTTCAACGGGCTGCCATTGTCTTGGGATATCGCGTCCAGGGCATTTTGGCACAGCGTGAGTACCCCTTGTATTGTATCAGTGACACTTCAGGGTTCAAGTGATGTGGTGCTTCTAATGATGGTCCTTTTAAACACGCAGACCTAACTAGTCAAAGATACTTGTCCCCTTTTACTCACACTTTCAGGACATTGAAGTCCCCAAATGATCAGGACTTGTCCATGGATCTCACCGCAGCAGATTGACTTTATCCGACTTTCCTCACAATGCAAAAATATTCTGAGTTTACTTTAAGCGAGGGGGGACATGGGGGTAGAGCGTACAATGTTTAAGGACATTTCACACAATTCAAGAAAAAATAACATTCAAACGGCTGATGGAGAAGTCGAGTATGAAGCAGACAAACTCTGCTTAACATGAACAACATCTTCTCCCTACCAATCCCTTGAATGTTCCAGGACTTCCCCCTTCTGTCCCTGCAGTTTCCTGGTTGTTTGGGAATGGAGCTGAAGACATTTTCTTCACTTGTTGTTAAAAGACCAGGGAAACCTTATTACTGTGAATAACTATTATTTTCTGTTTGTGGTAATTTCACCCTGCAAAGTTACTTTTCATGGTCTGCTTGCACTTCCCCGCTCTGTGCTAATAGATGTTGCAACAAAGGAAAAAAACACTCTTTACTTGTACAACTTTTTATGGGCTTCATATAAGAGCTCCTTGTGTATGTTTATGGTAACATTTGAGCTAATTACCTCCCTCTGTACAGGCTGGATTTAAAAGCCTGTCTTCCTCATTAAGAATCTAAACAAGGGATGAAGGACTAATGAGAGCCCCTCGAGGGACTATGTCTGTGCGCTGACTGTGTTCTCCCACAGTCCTTTTCTCTGGGGATGAAATGAGAGTTAATTAAATCTAATGAAGGTCTGCATTGACGATTACAGCAGTGAGACAAGAGCACTTTAAAGAATGAGTTTGTGAGGAAGATGGAAAAAAAGGGAATGAAAGACAAAATCAAATGACACATTATGGGTGCCGACATTTTATCTCAAGCTCAACCTGAAACATAAGAAGTCACTGTCTTTGTGTGCAGCTGTGGAGAAGGTTGCATCGTCACCCACCGACACTGAGAACACCAACGTGTGGATCGTCATCGGGGTGGTAATTCCCCTCATCGTGGTCCTCGTCATCATTTCCATCCTGTACTGGAAACTGTGTCGGACAGATAAGCTGGAGTTCCAGCCAGACGCCATGACCTCCATCCAGCAGAGACAGAAGGTAGAGTTGAGTCAGTGTTACTCAGTGTGTGTCATTTCAGATCTACAGTTCAGCCTTAAAATGACACACTTTAACTCCAGGTATGTAAGTTGTGAGAGATAACACCTTCAGTCAAAGAAAACATCACTTCTGTGCATAAAACAAACAAACAAAAAAAAAAAAAAAAAAGTTTTATGTCATGGTAACGTTGCTGTTTTCCTTCCACACCATAAGTTTGAGGAAAGAGGAAAGATGATCTCACTTTTAAATCCAAATGAGCTGATGATGATTCATTTCGGTGTATCCGTCATGGTAATGAATGAGCTGCTCCGTCTGGACTTCATTATTTCTTATATTTAGAAACAGTTTGTAAAAGTTTAATGATCCCAGCAGGGACGTTAGTTGGAATAGAAGAGCTGATAACTCATGAATGGGCCTCTGTTGCTCTTTTATTTTAGAGATACCTTTTTGGACTCGCCTTAAATGCTCTTTCAGGTAACGTTTGTCCAATTAGATTTTAAGTCTGTGTCAATTGAAGAGCTTCAGACTGCATTTCTGCAGGACTATAACTAAGCTCAGCCGTCATGACGTCTTTGTACATTCATATTGATTCTGCAATGGCGTAATGTCGGTGTCCCAGTCTGTGAATTCATATTGCTTTTCAGTGGAAGTGCCTCTGTGACATTCAGATTGAAGGCGGAAAGTCACAGGTGTGTAAATATCGTGACTTGAAACGGCGGTCTGAATAAAGCTTCTGACTTCACTTAAAACGGGACTTCTTCTCTTCGTGTCTCTTTTGTCTGAACTTAATGGACATCAGACATAATTAATTTGCCATGTTTTTGATAACCTCTATGGGCCCGCCTCATGCGGCTGGATACCCAGAAATCTTTCCCCTTTATCCCGCCTTGCCTGGGGCCAAAAAAACCAAACATCTGTAAAAAGGAACAACCATCATAGCAAAATGTTTTCAAACCCTCAGTATTCATACTTGTACGGCAAAACTTCTTACAAACAGAATATTAATTGAAGTCAAAGTTGAAGTGCATCCTGTGCAAAACAGAATTGTGCAAAACATTCTTGGACATCTGTGTGCTGCTGGTTCTGTGCCCTGTGCATAAAATCTCTAACAGAGTACCCGCCGATCTTAATAATGTGCTGCTATTTGTTAAATAAGGGACCAATGTCGACTGTTAACTTGTGAAATAATTTTAAGAATATCTCTCAAAAAATGTGTACACATGAATTAGGTGGTTTTGAGAGGGAACCCCAATGCATTAAACAGAAACTAATAAGGAACTAATTTAATGCCAAATTGGAACGATGGAGTAAAACGTCTGTGAGATATGACAATAATTAAACATCTGAGGTAAGTGTGTTCCCCGTTTAGTGAGATTAGGGTTTATCTTAAAGAGGACATATTATCCCCCTTTTCCACCTTTTTAAACGACTTGTCTTTTTTTAGTCAGGGTGACACTTTGGTTTCTCTTCATGTCCAAAGCTGCTGGTTCATGGGAAGAGTATGTTTTTCATCTCCCTGACTTTCTGTTGAAACGTAACGTGCAGAAATAATAATTACCAATCAGTCTGCCCTCTCTGCTTAACACGATCATCTGTCACTTAACACCATCCCCCTCTCTCAGTCTACCACCTCCTTTAGAGAATCAAGCACCTCTCAGCACCACACACTCCCCCTGACTAAAAAGGATGTGGAGTCAAGTGAGGGGGAGTATGAGGAAGAAGAAGAGGAGTATGAAGAAGAAGAAGAAGAAGAGGAGGAGGAGGAGGATGAGGTTAAAGGCGGGAAGGTACAGAGCAGTGTCTGGTGTAGAGCAGAGATGTAGTTAGTGTGTGTTTGCAGTCTGAAGTAGGTAGGCTAGTCGTCGTGTTCAAACAGCACAAAAACTATTCAATAGTTTATAGTCCAGAGACAACAGCATCATCACCTGAAGTATTTATGCCAACAATTGCTTCTGCTCAGACACCAGCAGCTCCTCCAAAGAGCAAACATAGTATGAGCAGTGAGGAGGAGGAAGAGGAGGAGGAAGAGGAAGAAGAAGAAGAAGAAGAAGAGGAGGAGGAGGAGGAGGAGGAGGAAGAAGAAGAAGAAGACGAGGACACTGATGAGGAGAAGGAGAAGTTTAAAGAGAAAGGAATGAAACAAGCAGAGCAGAGAAAACAAGAGAGCAGAGGGATGATAATAAAATCAGGAGAGAAGAAGAAAGAAGACAAAAAGAGAGTGATAAATAAAGGAAGGCGAGCCGCGGAGGAGGTATAATGTTCAATAGTCATAGAGTGTCCTACGTTTTTGTGATAGACATTAGGATCTGACGCTTTTCCGGTCATAGTCATGAAGATTTTGTCATCTTTAGAGCCCTGAATTGTGACGTGGTAGATCTATAGACGTCATCTTCATGTTTATACAGCGTGTTGGTGTTCCTAAGTTTCCCATTAGACCCGGCTAAGTAGTAATTAGTGAGCATAATGTGTGGGAGATATCTGTCTCTCTCCCTCAGCCTCAGTCTTAATTCTTATGAAACACTTTTGACTATTTCAGCTGTGGCTTTTTGAATCCTTCCCCTTTCATAACTGTCCATGTTTGTATGCCGCTGAGAGCCGTCTGCACAAACATATACACACACCTTCTCTCCGCCTCATCGGATTAGCACTTTTATGCATGTTGGCAAGCATCATACTGGATTAGCAGTATTATAGCAGCAAGCCTCTTCTAAGCACCGCATTTTGCATCAATGAACCTCAGTGTGAGTGTACGTTTAACTCGGAGAATTAGAACAGCAGCTTGTCTCCTCTTGTACTCCCATTTCAGCGTCACAGTGGTAGAGTTCAGGTTGAGATCTGACACTCCATGTTTACTCCTCTTCTGTGGGGAACTCCCGACGGCTTTACGTTCAGATACTCTCACTGCCTCTATCCCACACTGACTCAGAGGAGACGAGCAGCTCAATGTTTCCCCTCACGTGCCCCCCCCCCCATCCAGTTCTTTATTCATTAATGTCTGTCTGTCTCAGTCTCTCTCATGGGCACTCAATCGCTCCTCTTCAGCCTACAAACAAAATCCAAGCTCATTCTTCAATCTGAATATGCTGCATATTCAAATGTTTTCTTACTTATGATACAACACTGTATTTCGATTAGTTGGCAAGAATTAGTCAAATAATCTTATCTAATATTCTTAAACTAGAGTGCGCACATCCAAGCAAAATGCATACAGGCGCAGGATAAACATCTGTTTTACCTGCAGAAATAAGAGAAAGGTCTGCACACTGTTCGACTTTAATTAAAACTTTGCAACCAAAGGATCTTTCTCTGGCAAAAAGATGAAGATCCTTTGGATCCAAACGAACCCTGTTTAAAACATCCCATGTTTTTGTTGTTGTTGCTATTTTGTCCCTTTAGGCTCACCGTAGATAGTCATCCTTGGTGTCTCCCTGTAGTGTCAGTGATGTAAAAGATGGACACTGCTGCATCTTTGAATGTCTCATTTCACTTGAACAAACTCTCAGACAGCTCAGCTGACGAGTCCAAAGTAATATCCAACTTATGACATCACACATTGACCTTATGACATCACACATTGACCTTTGTTACCGTTCCTTTGAGCTGTTTGACCTCAGTTTGGGATCCCTAACCACTTCCTGTTTCTGTGCTTAACTTCATGTCCTAACCTTCACTCTACCAGAAGGGCCTTACTTTATTTCAAAATAAAAGCAAGTCGAAGTCAAACAGCAGTAATGACATCTCAGCTAAAGACAGTACAACATTTCAAAATAAAAGCCTAACCATTTATATTTTTCAATGTGAAATAATGGAATTTCAAACATGATTAAACATTGGAATTTAGCAATTAATCACAATTACATATATTTAACCTTTTGACAGCTCTAATGTACAGTATGGTTTAGTCTATATGTCCTCATCCTCTCCCTGACGCTTTTCCTTTTCTACCTTTCTTCACTTTCATTATTTTTTTCTCTTCTGTCCCTGTCCTCAGTTGCAGGCCCCGAGCGTGAAAGGTTTCGACTTTGCCAAGCTGCACCTTGGCCAGCAGAGTAAGGATGATGTCATGGTGATTCAGGAGCCAGTCCCGCCAGGGCTGGGCTCTGGACCGCTGCCCGTGTCCATTAAAGACGGCCTCAGCCAGTCTGAGAACGGGGAGATTCCCACTCCGCAGTCCAAAACTTCAGTCTCCTCCACGAAGGCGTCACGCAGCAGCCGAAGGAGAGAACGGTAAATTAATCTGTCCTCCAGGTCCTCTTTAGTCCAGCACCTCGTTAGAACCTTTAGCTTTTTACTCACAGCTGTTTTTAATCGCTCCTCCATTAAAAAACATCCAGCATTCAGATATTTTTAGACACTTAACAGAGCTGGTTTTGTTTTTCCAAAGAGGCTTCATTTTACGCTCACCCCAATTTAAGACGCTCAGTCAACCAGAACAAAACCTTCGGACAGATTTTGAATCAATATTTAATGTGACAGACGATGTTTTTCTTTGCTTTCTTTCTCAGTGTGCCTCTATACATTATACTCAGTTATGACAACATGCACATACAGTACTGTATTTACTCGTTTCTATTTAAACGTTTTAATAGCTTGGGTTAATTGAGGTTTTAGCTTTTTTTTTATAGAATAGAAGAGAATTGAAAGTTAATTTATAAAGCACAATTCATTACAGGTACAGTAAGCTCAATGTGCTTTGGGGATAAAAACACATCAGCAATCGTGAATAAGACACAGAAATGAAATCATCAAAACACGCGTCATGTTCATCAGAGACGTCACATAGCAACCAAACACCAAAAAGCCTCAAATCAAATAAATAAGTAGCTAACTGTACACCTGAGTTAATCAGGCCTCGTCCTCTTTAAGGCCTCGTCAATGTTTGAAATTGAGGTTTCCCTCCTCTGTTTAAAAAAAGAATCCCGTCCACACACGCTCAGTTCTCAAAAACATCTTCATCCACATGAAAACACAAAAACAAGCTAGAACGGTTGCCATGAGCACGCCAAGTCAACAAACAGTGGTTCCATAGAAATGACCGTTTCGTTCTTAATGTTGTCCCACCATCCCAAAGTCTGACCGGGTCTCTTCCCAAACTGCTGACGTCGGTGGCGGGGTTTGGTTGGTGGGAGTGTGGTATGAAGCAGCAGTGACCTCCCGTTGTCCACTCAGGCGTCTCTGCTCGTCAACATAGTGGGAGAGAGTAACTGTGTGTGTAAAAAGTCCAGTTAGCAACGTTAGCACCAGCGCTAGTTTGGTGACGCCTGTGATCGCACTAACCTCATGTAGACAAAAGTGACAGCGTCGCACAATGACGTCAAACGGAGAAGAAAGCGGCACATATTATCAAGATGAAGTTTATTGTTTACTTACCGCTGAATGAGACATGAGACAACGTAGTTTCTACACATTGCAAGCGATGAGCTGAGGTCAACTTCTGGAGCAACGCCACTCGTGCATGTAAGTGAGGGGGCGTGGCTTTAGAGGGAGAACAGAGGGGAGGGGGTGGGTGCAGACAGAGCACTGAGGGAATGCTACTCTTCCTCAGTGCTCTGAAAATGACCAGCCTTTAAGCTGAGTGAGTGATTTGGCTGCAGATTAAGATTAAGATACTTCTCTAATTTCCAACCACAACAGCAGATTGTTCTGGTGTGGACGAGATATCAGTTTCTCATATGACAGCTGACAGGACACTTTTCTTAGGATTTAAATCTTTTAAGTGAGACTACTTTGAGAAGGCTACCCCAGCTTTTACCTTATTCTGAAAAATCATGACTTTCATTTATGCATGGCATTTCAGGATGTTAGTGCCTTCTTCTCTTCTATTATTTATCTCCGCCTGTGTGTGTTTTTTGTGTGTTTTTTTCGGTAGGATCTCGCCGTCAGACGGTGACTCTGTGGTTAGTGACCATTCGAGTGAGCGGGAATCAAACGAGGAGAACCTGAGAGGCCACGGCACGCCCAACGACAGCAAGCAGACCCGCAAGGTCCCCATCAATGTTTTAAATGGTAAGTCGCCTTGGTAACGCACACGTCAGTCCTCCAAACACAGAGAGCAAATACCAGGCGGGGGAGGGGACGGAGGAAAGTAAAAGGAAGGGGCAGATAAAGAGAGAGAGAGCAGTTCAAGCTAGTGTTATTTGATTGACAGGAAAGCCAGCCTGAGGGCAGGGGAGACTGTGAAAAAAAACAAAAAAGCAGGGAAGGGCCGAGGACGGAAAAGAGCAGCAGTGACATAAAGATTATAGAGGGGGGGACAGAGCCTTATTTAAACTCTATTCATTGGTCCAAAGAAGTCCAGAGAGAGGAAAGAGAGAGAGACAAAAAAAGCTGAAGTTACTCTATCGGACAGCTTGTTGATAGATTCAAGCCTGCGTAGCGATACGTGCCAGAGCCAGAGGCAGTCAGGCACGCAGACTGCAGGCTGACTCTCTCACAGAAGAATGGTCTCTGTTTTGTTATTGATAAGTCTCTGCCTGGAACTGCTCCGCTCTGCGACACTGTTTGGAAATAGGATGTAAAGGAGACACAGACATTTTTAATGTGCTGCTTTTTTTTTCCCTGCCCCTCTCATTAATTTCTCTGAGTAATGAACTGCACACGAGCAGAAGAGAAGCTTTTATCAGCTGTGGATTATTTATCTGACTTTCCTCCCTCTTCTCTTAAAGACTAAAAAAACAGTCTGGGCTTTTTTTTTTTTTTCAGTGTAAGCATCATTGTAAGTCTTCTTCTTTCTCTGCTGCTCTTATTTGATCTCCTTCACCTCAATAAAACTCTTTGTTCTCTCTGTTGCGGTCTCCAGGCAAGAATAGAATTGGTAAGAGTTTGTCTTCTCTCTGTCTGTGTCTCCATAGACCTCAGGTTTGACCCCCAGCAGCTGTGTCTCTGTGCTGTCTGTTTGTTTGTTTCTGCTAGTTTTCTGTTCTCCCCATCCATCACTGTCTGCTGAGCTGTCGGTCACAGTGAAGAAACAATCAAACAAAGGGAACGCCGTTGTTTGAAATCACATTTGGCTTTTAGAAACAGAATCAGAGTTCATTTCATGTTCACACCGGATGTTTTAACCCCACATGTTTTATGCAAATCAAGTTTTAGATGAAGTTAAAGTGCTTGGTAGAGATCTTTAAAACATGATCAGTCTTTGCTCCATCCCCTAGTTTACGCCCACAGTAGCGCTTAACGATGTAATGACCACATTTTGCTGACAGAGTTATGACTAATGTTTTTTTTTCCCCATTCCTTCTTCAGGTCCTCCGCCTATGAATGGCACAAACAAGCAGCTGTCTTCGGCATCCATCTTTGAACATGTGGATCGAATGTCTCGGGCCGCCGATGCCAGCAGGAGACTCCCGAACAAAATCCAGCTCATCGCCATGCAGCCCATGCCTGTGCCACCTCTCCACAGCCCCCCCATCAACGGCAAACTGTCCAACACCAACCAAATCAACAAAGAGGTCGACTTTTCTGACTCACTATGCTCACAAAAAAATATATTTTTCAATTCATGAAATGAATTTTTGAGCAGGCTGCATGACATCCTGACCAACCACACAGACAGCATGACTGTCCAGTATATCGTCTGAGAGACATTTACAGAAGATATACTGGATATCTGCTTTATTTATGTGTAAAATGTTGGACATTCTGCCTTTAAAGAGATCCAGAGGCTTTTATCTAACAGTGTCTCTTTTCTGCAGATCCAGGTAGCACTGAGGCACAAGTCAGAGATTGAACACCATCGAAACAAGATCCGTCTGCGCGCCAAGAGAAAGGGCCACTACGACTTCCCCGCTATGGAGGAGGTCACAGGCGGGCTGGGAGACACTAAGGACCAGGATTGCATCTATCAGAAAGCACAGACACAGATCGATAAGATCCTGGACCCTGACACTCAGATGCCTGCCATCTTCATGCAGTCCAAAAAAAGGTGAATGTTCATGTCTTCTGTCATTGTACCTGAGTTGATAAGTGTCTGACAAAATAAAAAGACTCATTAACCTTTGATCTTAGTGTTCGCGGAAGGCGCTCCCCCAAAATGAGGATGAAGGAGCAGTTGAATGGCGGCATGATGGAGGCAGACAAAGACCACCTCATCACTGAAGACAATGATGCTGCGTACAGGAAGTGTCCTGGAGTCAACAACGTGGCCTACGTCGTGAGTAGTACATGAATCTAATCCGACTCATCTCAACAATTTTCCAGGTCTAAAGCTGCAGCTAATGCCAGGAAAGGATTCCTTTACTGTGCAGAGTTTCCATGTTTTTCTTGGTGATATCTATTTGAATAGAAGCAAGTGTTAAGCATACGGACCACATTTAAACAGCCCTAAAGGTCACTACGAGGGAAGCAGAGATTCATTAAGCTAAACCTTTGTAACCTAGCAACAGTGATGCAGTGAGAATCGGCCTGAATCTGAAGTCTTTGGCTCTGCCAGAGCAAAAAAGCCATTGGTACACTACTTATTTAGCACCTCTGTCTTTTTTAAAAGCATCGATTAATTGTGCTGAATCATTCTGTTGTGGTTCCATTCTCAACATTCTGCTCCCTGTATAATATTTCTTACTTATACTCCTCAACTTGAATCTCTATATCCTGTCTATACACTCTTTAAGCATGTTCATAATGTGTTGTGTTGTTCCAGTCTGATCCTGACCAAGGCCCAGGATCCCCTCACAGGAGCCCCTCCCCCACCGATGATGTCTTCCTCGGCCCTGCGTCCTCTCCTCCAGGCCATGCCCCTCCCCCAACCCCCTACATGCCCCCACAGCCCTCCATCGAGGAGGCGCGGCAGCAGATGCACTCTCTGCTGGACGATGCCTTCGCCCTCGTGTCCCCCACCTCTCAGGGCAGCACGGCAGGGATCACTCTGCCAGGGGTCAACAACAACAACCCGCCCGCCTCCAGCCCTCCTGGACGTAGTCCCCGACCTTGGGGTCCTTCTTACCAAAGTCTCGGCCCCTACACTGGTGTAAGTAGCCACTCCTGGTGCTTTCATCTACAGAATAAATCCCCCCTCGGTGTAATTTCTGAATGCATATGCAGAATATTTAAATCGGTTAATCTCTTATTAGTATTTTTGTTGCCTTTGATCCTTCTGCTCTCATGTGGCAATGAAGTAGATATAAAAAAAATGGTCCCATATAGCTCATCAGGTAGTCAAGACCACACTAACCAAGACTAAGACCAGGATGCTCCGAGACAAGACCAAGACCAAGAACAAGGCAGGATGAGACCATGGCAAGACCAAGACCATAAATAACACTGAAAAATCATTTTGTGTGCAAAACTAAGACCTTAACACTATGAAGGTTGCGACTTTACCCGGGGGATAAAAATCAAACTACAAATGAATTAAAGTTATTCTTTCTTTTAGAAATGGTTGTTTTCTTCTAATGACTTTAAAAATAGCCAATCAGTGGTGGTCTTGACTGGTCTTAATTTAATATCCCGAGTCCGCCCAGTCTGAGACCAAGACAAGTCAGAGTAAAAATGCTTTTGATTCCAAAAAAACGGTCTTGAGACCCAGACCGATTTCGAGTCCTACAACACTATCATCAGGATTTAAGATGTTTAATGTCTCTCTGAATGTTGAAACAAACGTGGGAAAAGTCTTCTGTGGGTTGGCTGCTTTTAAGAGAGTGAGTAAATATGAAATACTTTAAAATAAAATAAACAAGTGACAGAGTAAGCAGTAATAAAAAAGCATTTATTTTGTGATTATGAGGTTTATTTAGTCTAATTGTCTGATGAAAAAACCTGTTTCTCATATAGTTTTAAGATAAGCATGTTTTACCTTTCTACAGATAAACAGAAATAAGCTCCCTGTTAGATAAGAACTAACATAACAGAAAATAAGCACTGGTGAAATCCCTCATGTTCACTATCTCCTCCCTTTCTCAAGTTTTCTTTTTCAGCTCATTAACAGCACGAAGCCGGTAGCATCAAGTTTAATCGTGTCCACTTAGCCACCTAATCAGTTAAGTATTCCTCCATCTGTCACCCCCCATGGAGCTGCGACCTTTCAACTCTCGTCAGCCACCTACAGTCCTAAGACTCGACAGCTACAGAGATACCCTTGACCTGCATTGGCTCTTGTCAGCGTAGACTAGTTTCAAAGGAGGCGCGGTCACTGAAATGCTGAAATAATAAGCTCAGTGTTTCTTTGTATTTAGTCTGTTCATTGAAAGAGGTCGGGGCAAAGCTGCGACACTACACAAAGGCTTGTTTATGTAGCACTGCAGCAGAGGTCCATAGTGCTGTGCATGTGTGACACAGTGTCTGTAGTGTTTCATGTTGTGGAGTGAACTGCAAAGAGACGATACTTAGCTTATACTACGTGTAGCTTTACTACTCCTATACAGTGCCCATGGGTTTTATATATGCCAAATACTCTAAGATGCTTAGAGATGGCAGAGATTATATACTGTAAGCATTACAGTAAGCTACAGAGATTTTCTGCACATTGAATCACGTGGATTTGATGAACAGTGAGTCCTATTCTGTCAGTAAGAAATAACACTGCTGAAAACCTGCAGGGAAAAAGTGTGCAAAACTCCCTCTGAATGGAAACATATCAGTATAGTATTTTTATGATTCTAAAGCTGAACATATTTCCATCTTGACTGCAGCTTAAAGGAGCAATATGTAAGATACACTGTGACTGAAATTATTAAAGTGACCTTACAATATGATCAGACATTAAGGAAGCATGATATGTTGAAGTGCTGGCTTCTCTGACAACAATGCAGCAGCCAGTATGTCCTCCTTCTAACTTTAGATTCTGCTCCTGAATGCTCTGGATTTGTCTGGACCAGAGAAGGTAGGCGGTTTTAAGGCACGGCCGTTTTGGACGCCCCTCAGTTTACCAGATATGAGAGCAGTTATCAGGTCAAACCAACAGGTGTTGCAGTGATGGAAGCGGTCAAGAGAAGTGGTTCAGATAGAAGTGATTGTACCCGACCTAAAAAGCCTCTGCATGTTTCTAATAAGCTCCACGAGCAGAAACGTGCTCAAACTAGGATCAATATTGGAGATGTTTTTGAAAAATGGAGAGAGGTTAGAACACAGAAAGGTTTACAGACCGATGCAGAGCTGGATAAACACTGAAGCTTCAGTGTCCACCACATGGCAACCTGTGTGAGCATCGACTCTAGAGAGGAGGGGGCGGGGGGAGAAAACTCTCTGCAATGTTTTAAATTTGGACTGCAGTACCCATTTTAAACACCAAGTGTCAGAGTTACATATTGCTCCTTTAAATATCACTGGAGTAACTAAAGTTCTTTATAATCTTATTAAGAAAAATACTTTAGATGAATGTACGTATATAGCTGTGAAATGGACTTGAGTCTATCCATTATAGGCTAACACAGGTGTTGATCCCAGGTGAAATAAATAAAGGGAGACTTAACAGGGAGCAGTGCAGCCATAAAAAGCTATTTACTGGTTCTGCTTTTGTAGGTTCAGTGCTTTAATGTGCTGTGAAAGGTCAGCTGTAAAAATGAAGGAAGTCCAACTAACTCTACATGAGAAAAGCAAGACTCTCTGAGAGCCCGATCACGGGGGGACGCGTCACGTTAAGTGCGGCCGCTCCAAAAAACACCTGACTGCATCTGGGGAAGAAAACAGCTGGGACGGCCTGTGGAGCGGGGCTGTGTGTGCATACTTAATTAAGTGGGGAAAAAATTAATTGGAGCAAACGCAGAGTTCTCCCTGTTGTTTTGCTCCTAGATGAGGAGGGGGAAAAAATGTTCATAAAAAGAGGAGGTAAATCCTCTTACTTGATTTGATTGGCTGCTTTGCCCATGGGTGAAATTGACAAGCGCTGGGACTTCGCATCTTGAGCTGAAAAGGTTTTAACTTTTATGCACGCCTAAAACACCGCCAGAAAAACGCTACACGCAGAAGTAGATTAGAGCGCCCGGCAAGCGCGTTGGACCATAGGAAAACAATGGTGTTGCTGGCGACGCCTTTCTTGAGATGCTGATTAGATCAAAGAAAAAAGAAAAAGTCCTCAAATAACCTGCACAAACTCGGGACGCCAGAAAAGAAAAAAGGAGAAAAGGAGGGAGCTGGCTCGGGCATTTGATCCCAAAAAGAACTTGTTAACAAACTTATTTCAGACCGCTCCAAAGGCTGATGGGAGCCGAGCAAAGGGCGCTAATGTTAGCCAGGAGGCCAGCGCTAACACTACTGGTCGAATGTGCATACGTTGATACATTTAAATCCTATCTTGGGAGGGCCCATTCACTCAACCTTTCAGGGGCCAGTTCATTTCTGCATGTGAACCTTCGATGTTGTATAAGAATTGACAAAGAAAGGTTTAAAATGGTCGTAAACAGGAAGTGCACTTGAGCATTTCTGAAGTTTAATGTGACCTTTTTTGACATTATGAGACATATTGCTGATATAAAGATCCGCCTGCTGTTGTTCTCTGTCCTTAACCCCGGGTGTCTTCTTTGTTTTCTCTCCCCAGAGGTTCCCTGAGCTCAGCCTGCCCCCACCGTCTGTCCAAGGCCTGACACCGAGGTTGGTCAAAATTGAAAATCCATGTATAAATTAAAAAATAATACACCTCTGTGACGTTGACGTCTTCCTACACCAGAATGATTTCTTATTGATCAGCCGAGTTTGAGTTTCAGCACTTCACCGGGGGGAATGTTGTCCTTCGAAAGCATCCTGTGAGTTGGCCTCGTGAATAATGAAACCAGAGTCATCTTTATTTTATCAGTTTAATGGATCGGGTCCAAGCAGTGGTCCCCTCACTGTCTCCAAAGGACCGAGGCACCCATACACACTCACATATTCATGTGAAAGCACACAAACACACACTGTGCACCATTTTCATGAGGTTCATTTATTTCGTAGAGAGCAGAGAAGCAAGAAGGAAACCCCACAGATTTATTTATGATCAAACACCTTCTGACCTCAGGTTAAAAGTCCTGTTTTTTATTTTAATTCAATCTTTTTATATTCTTGTCTTTCATCGCTTTAGAAATATGTTGAATTCCCTATATTTGACCTCATCTGCATTATCATTTATCTGCTTTGAACCTGATGAACTTCAATACTTGAATTTATAAAATTTATAAAAGAGTAAAGGTTCCTCTACACTTAAAGGGAGGGGGAGGACTGAGGACAGGGGGAGAAATAGGCCTGACCACAACACAATCTAACTGCTTGCATTATTTATTGTTATTTACTAGACACAGGATAAATAGAAACACATCACAACTACTGCTACCTACATTTATTGCTGCTGCTTTTTGATATAAACCTGTACATGTATTTTTAAACGTTTAATATCCATTGCTGCTGCTGTGTAAGGTCAATTTTTCTATAACTTGTAAATGACATCAGCAGCTGTCAAATACTATAAATGTTGCAGACGTCGTATACTGTATTAGATGAGGTCCATGTGATGAACTTTACCACAAACAGGAGAAGACTCTGAGGGATCAGAGAGATCTCCCAGTGGGTTTGAGCATGTTCATGAGTGCAAACATCCACACAGATACACAGAACATGCACTGAATTATACAGTAGGTCTACATATAACATTATATGTATCCCTGTACAATGTCAGTGAAGACTTATCATCAACACTCTTAAGTAGCTGATTGGTCTTTTTACTGAAAACTTCTCGTGTTGTCACATCATCTGGACATATATCCCACATTTCAAAATCTCCATTGATATGTCAGCGTAAAGATCACAGCTGAGAAGACGATCAGTAGATGTGTCCCCCTATGTTTTTCATGAAATCTCAGGTAAATGAAAAAGCCTCTCTTTGTGTTTCAGGCAGGGCCTTGGCTCCAGCTACCTGCCACCCGGAGAACCAGCAGGCACATGTGAGCAGATCCAGCCGGACAGCCTGTACTCCAGCAGGGGGCTCTACTCTGACGAGCTCTCCTCGTCTGCCAGACCGAGGCCTGTCGGGGGGACTACAGGTATGACATGCAGACACATACAAACATCCACAAACTGATGCCCACTAATCCAGCTCTTGATCTTATTTCCACTTTTGAGAGCTTCATTGAAGTCACCCTGTTTTTTTACCTGCAGCACTCGACATAAACTACTGAAGTTCAGGTCAACTGCACAACATGTGTGATATTAATTTCATTCAACAGATCTATAAACAGCATATGATAATAAACAGTGATCAGCCGAAACAGATTATTTTATCTCTCAGATTTTAAAGTCGATTTCAAGCAGCACTTCAACATTTCATGCTCTCTTCTTCAGGTTAGTTTTGGGCCTTTTTGCCTTTATTAGATAGGACAGCTAAGGAGAGACAGGAAATGTTGGAATGGTCAAGTGGGGGGATGACATGCAGCAAAGGTCGCCGGTCGGATTCAAACCCCAGGCTGCTGCAATGGGGCCTCTGTACATGGAGTTCACAACATAAACTGCTAGGCTATCGGCGTCCGACATGTCCTGCAATCTTGATGCTTTGTGTTTGTGTACACAGCACAATTTAAAGTCTAATTCAAATGTTATTTTCTGAAATATTTCGATCTCTGCGGTGCAATGTTTTGTTAGAATCTAGGCAACAAATGCTAATTATTTAAAATGAATTGACTTTAGGCTGGAGCTGAATCATACAGATAGTCCAATCAAATTACTTAATCAGAATTAACTTGTTGTATATTTGTGAGCAAAAATGATTTTAAGACACAATAAAGCATCTTGAAGCTTTATTGACCTTTTTATTGGATGTTGGCCTCTGTGCTGTTCTGCTACACAGACGCACACCTCCAGCCCATAAACCTGTCGGACCGAGGCAGTCCGTCTGTCTTTTAAGTTATTGAAGCAGCTGAAGTGATGCTGCTGCCATCATGCAACTCACACTAATAGAAATGGATTCTGGCATTTAGCGTAAAGAGTGCAGCTCAGCAGATGCAGAGTGATCGCATCAAAGTGTATGACAGGAGCTGCTGAGGATTGAGTGTCAGGTTCTGTAGCTCTGATGTGATGTGTGTGTGTGTGTGTGTGTGTGTGTGTGTGTGTGTGTGTGTGTGTGTGTGTGTGTGTGTGTGTGTGTGTGTGTGTGTGTGTGTGTGTGTGTGTGTGTGTGTGTGTGTGTGTGTGTGTGTGTGTGTGTGTGTGTGTGTGTGTGTGCAGGTGCCCAGCTCCATCATCTTGCACAGGTGGGATTGTCCAGTCGGATGAACGGTTACCCAGCAGGGCTCCGGGCTGCTCCAGGCCAGAACGGAGGGATCGGCTGGAACCACTACCACGATGAACATTTCTCCAGGATAGAGCCTGAAAAAGAGGGAGTGAGTGCATCACACATTTTATTTCCACCAGATTACGATCTTCTCTGTAACAACATTTAAACCTAGTGTGTTATGCATAATCATCGATCACACAATCAATCAATATGAACTAAGTGTGTTTGCATGTCAAGTAATGCCACAGAAAAACACAAAACAACAATGACCTGATCCTATAAATAAGTATTTTCAGTTTATTTATTCCTTTTACACCATCTTAATCTAAATCATGAAGCACCATGGATGTCCAAAACTATTCAGACAACAATGGAGCCACCCTGCACATGCACAATGTAGTTTTTATTCAGTGGACCTCAAACACCCTGCTGTTTTAAATTACTCATTAAAGCAATGTGCTTACAGCTTCAGTGGCATCACTTTTCAGAAATTAAGTACATTCATAAAAACCGTAAATATAGATTTTTGACCTGACTTAAAATTAAATTCAGCAGAAAAAAAGGGCCTTGGCCTGAAAATAAAGACACAGATTTTAAACCAACAAGGTCCTTCACATTTTCAGTAATAAACCTTGACGCCACTTTACGCTTCTTCCCCTTTTTACACACAGTTTTCTTTTACTTTCTATGCTGCTCTGAGAATCTCTACTACTTCTTTAATCTCACACTCTTCAGTTCTGTCACTTCATATTTCTGCTTTCTCCTCCTCATCTCTCTCCTCTTTTTTTTCTCCTCCTTCCTGCCTTCAGTTCCTGGGCTGTCCTGACTACTCGTCCCCCTCTATCTTCCAGACGCCAAGAAGTGTCATCAGGGAGCCTTCGGCACCTCCTGCCCACCTGGACACCTCGAGTGTGAGCTATCTGTCTGCCCCGCCGCCTTTGGATACATCTCCTCCCACGCACTCCTCCGCCTCGCTCATCAAGGCCATCAGGGAGGAGCTGCTGCGTCTCTCGCAGAAACAGGCAGCTGTGTCCAGCTACCATGGCTGAGAGCTTCAGCCTCCAGTCTGTAACCAGTCGTACCACTGACCCTGCCTGCCTGCTTCACCCACCTGAGCTCACAATACTTCCCATGGAAGTCTCTGAGGCGGTACAGCAGAGAGAAAGAGAGAGAGAGAGAGAGAGAGTCCTGCTGAAGTGAAGTGAAGTGAAGAGGCGGCTAACAAAGATTTCTACCTGCAGGGGGCGCCCTTGTTAAAAACTGGACAGCTCGTGTTCAGAGAACAGAATCACATTACACAGTTAAATCAAATCATAGACAATGCAATGGAAAGGAAGACAATATGAACAGTAGATGATGGACCTTTTAATGAGACGACGTGATGTGGCATGTCTGGAGTCATTGTGGACCTGGGAGGCCGAGTTCTGGCCACATTCTGGACTTCTTTGAGATGCTACCGACTCCATCAGCCTGAGTCTCTGCGTCATACTTTCGTTCTCATGCTGCCTTCCCTCAAATGAAATCCCCTCTAAGTCATATAGATAATCTCCTCTGTTTTTTTTTAACGCTACTGACACTACCACACAGGTATTTGTTTATTTTCATTGCAGACTCTTAACCTCATTATCACCATCAGGTGCTACTTCCTGTTCTCTGCCATGATGAGCCATGCTATGCCTTGACACTGTGATGTAGTTCACCTGACTGTGTCTAATGTACGAGCCCACAGTGAGCTCATAGGTCAGACGGTAGGCACAGAGGAGCACTTCTAGAGACTAATAACACTCATAAACACTACCTATTCCTTACTGCAGTAGCACAGAGTTAGTCTGAGTTTAAATCTTTTGACCTCTTTTCCTACAGTATCGTTTACTTGTTGTTATTTGTGGACAGCTTGCATTCACTGTCTTTGTTTTTTATTATGCTAAGAAGCTGACAGACTGCTAGCAAGCTTGGGAAAATGGCCTTGAAATCAAGTCAATCGTCAGCAGCAGGAAGTGTTACACCTACAGGCAGAAATGTGTTACTTGACATTATGGAGTGTGTTCTGCTGTACGTTGATGCACTGTTTGCAGACGACTTTGTACAGCTCAGTTCAATCAATAAGAGATTTCTAACGGACAAATCAGTGTTAAGATAAGTCATGTCAAAGTACTGTTAATGAAGGAACATTACAGAAGCCTTAAGCAGATAAGCATCAATACATTTTATTTAAAGGAGTAATATGTAACTCTGACACCTAGTGTTTAAAATGGGTACTGCAGTCCAAATTGCTCTCTCCCCCCCCCCCTCCTCTCTAGAGTCCATGCTCACACAGGTCACCATGTGGTGGACACTGAAGCTTCAGTGTTTATCCAGCTCTGCATCGGTCTGTAAACCTTTCTGTGTTCTAACCTCTCTCCATTTTTCAAAAACATCTCCAATATTGATCCTAGTTTGAGCACGTTTCTGCTCGTGGAGCTTATTAGAAACATGCAGAGGCTTTTTAGGTCGGGTACAATCACTAATATCTGAACCACTTCTCTTGCCCGCTTCCATCACTGCAACACCTGTTGGTTTGACCTGATAACTGCTCTCATATCTGGCAACCTGAGGGGCGTCTAAAACGGCCATGTGGGGGGTGTCTTAAAACCGCCTACCTTCTCTGGTCCAAACAAATCCAGAGCATTCAGGAGCAGAATCTAAAGTTAGAAGGAGGACATACTGGCTGCTGCATTGTTGTCAGAGAAGCCAGCACTTCAACATAGCATGTTTCCTTAATGTCTGATCATATAGTAAGATACCTTTATCATTTACTTAACTACACACCTTATGCTGATTGCGCCTTTAACTCTGATGTACTGTAAAAATTACTACATTTCTGTTGCCAATCAACCAATCAATCTTAATTTTTGTAGCATTGATTCATAACAAATGTTAACTCTAGACGCTTTATGAAAGAGTAGGTAAAATACCTTACTCATTGTTATGGTACAATAACAGTTGTTTGCTCAATATCTCAATGTATTTATCTTGTTCTTGGGATAACAACGCTGGTTTTCACCAAGCTGCAACCTCCAGTGTTGAAAAGAAACCGATTCGGAAGTGCAAAATCCTGAAGTTCTTTGAGTGTCCACTTGAGGCTGCCTGCAGGAACACCAGGAGTCACATACACACCACAGCCAAAAAGGCCAGTAATTCAGTACTTACCATGTGGCACTTAGAAGTTTTATATTTGTATACGTTGCATCACAGCAATAATTTAAATAATGTTTGTTTTAATTTGAGATTTGTTGTGAAAAAAAGAAATGGTCATGTTATAATTACAGCCTGGTACACAAAAAACAAATAGATCTGATTAGTTATTGTCATCACTGGCAACCTGAGTGAGCGTCGACTCTGGAGAGGAGGGCGCGGGGGGGAGACAGCTCTCTACAATGTTTTAAATTTGACCTGCAGTACCCATTTTAAACAAACATGTGAATTTTGAAAAAATTGCTCCGTTTTGATTTTATGATATGTGTTATCAATAGTTAGGCGTGTAGCTGACATGATTGACAGGTGGGCGGGATATAACGGTTCGTCAAGAGGCTTAAAACACGCCTCAGCTCCAGCTCTCAGCCTGTCGTTAGGCTGACTGAAAGTTACACTGAGACAGGATTTCCAGCATGGCGAATGCTGTAGATGAGCCTCTGGAGTCCCCTGCAGGAACAGATGGCTTCGTCTATTAATATTTACAGGCTACGGTTTTCTCATGATGATCGGTCGTTTTATTTTTAGATTTCCAGAAATTAACTTATCTCAGTGAAACAAGTTTTGATATTACGAGACAATTAGAGTCAATTGAGATGTTGAGAAAACAACCATTACTTCTGATAAGGAAAAAATGAGTAAATTAATATTGATGTTTGTCTGCTTAAGGCTCCCGTAGAAAGTCCTACAGATCAGTATTCTGTTTAGCATTGACCTGTATTAATAACTAACACCATCTCTGTCTCATGCAGTATTCAAACATGTTGTTTGCCTTTTTATCAGCACAGGAGGGGTTAAAAGAAAAGTGTACTGTATTGTAATTTATGGTTTACTACGGCCATCTTGTTTCTGTGCTCTGGACCTTTTTCTGATCTATCTTACCTCATGTGATTTTGTTCCCCTTCAAACGTCTCTTAGTCATCGTGCTTTTAGGTTCCCCCTCTCCTCCTTCCATATGTTGTGATGTTTCGGGGCCTGAAGTTATATTTTATCTAACTGAAATAAAAGATGGAAATTATGGATTTCAAAAGCAGGGACTGAAAACATGCGTCTGCAGTGTGTCTGCCAGTCTGATGTGGCAGCTTATACATCATCACTACACATCTACATTTGTTTTAATTTGTTTGGCAGCGTCATGTGCCTTTCAGTAGTGTTGTATTACTCGAAACACAAGACTGGTCTCGAGACCACTTTTTGAAGGTCTCGTCTCGGAACCGAAGTCTGTCTCAGACTGCGCGGACTGGATTTTAAATCGAGACCGATCAAGACCACCTCTGATTTCTATTTTTCCACATCATAATTTTGATTCAGAGGAAAACGACCCCTTCTCAAAGAATACAGAAACTTTAATTCATTCATGAAGCAAGTGACACGCCCACTGCTCACTAGATGATGATTTTTCAGTGATGTTTATGCTCTTGCTCTTGTCTCGGTCTCGCCCTGCCTTGGTCTTGACTCGGCCTCGATCCCTAAATGTCTTGGTCTAGTCTTGGTTTCAGGGCACTCTGGTCTTTGGCATGTCTCGTTTGGTCTCACTACAGCACTTCCTTTCACAGTAACCTTGAACATTTGAATTACTTCTAGTAGTTTTCCGTGTGTCCTGTTTCTCATCTCCATCACTGAGGATCAAATATTGTGATTCCTGGTCTGAATAACAACAATAAGCAGTCATTTTTTTAAATTTACATACTTTTGTTGCTATAGGAGCTAAAATGAAACAGTGATCACACATGGTTATTGTATGAAGCTGTGTTTGAATAGTCCATGTTTACACTCTCACACTGTATGCCTCCATCTGCTGGTCATGTACTGTAACAACCACCAATCCCACGTTTGTTCATCCCAAACTTCCTTTTGTTCCTTTTGAATGTGTTTTTTTGTGTTGTGAGCAATGATTTTATATGTTTTGCATTTGGTGAAAATTATTTGTTGGCTGGCCCAACTTTCTGTTTCATTGATGTCGCATGTTTAATTATTGTATTTCTTTATGTTTTATGTTTTGTTGGTTTTTTGCGCATGCTGTTCAAAGAAAATCCTTGAAAATACAAAAGAAGTTGTCTCTACATTTGTAACCGGATTCTTAGTTTATTAACATAAGCTCTGGTACAAACTGATGTGTTCAATGACACTTTTTTGAGGGTTGCACGGGGTTGCAGTGGTTAGCGCTGCCTCACCGCAAAAAGGTTTCTAGTTTGAATCCCCCGTCAGACAGAGCCTTTCTGTGGGGAGTTCTCACCGTTCATGTGTGGGTTTCCCCCCAGATACTCCAGCTTCCTCCCACAGTCTAGCGACAAGTCCGGGGAGTAACCCGCCTCTCTTCCAGTGTCCAATGTCAGCTGGGATAGGCTCCAGCCCGCATAACCCTGGACAAGCAATATAGATAATGGATGGAGCAAATGCCATTTTTTAGTCCCTGCACAGCGCTGTCGCCTCACAGCAAAAAGGTTCCTGGTCCAAATCCCACGGACAAGAACCTCTCTGTGTGGAGTTTGCATGTTCTCCCCGTGCATGCGTGGGTTCCCTGCCGTTATTCCGGCTCCTTCCCACAGTCCAAAGACATTCTTGTTAGGTAGATTGTTGACCTGATTGGAATTTCGTTATTTCTTTATTAGGATCCCCATTAGCACCAGCATACGCATCGGCTATTCTTCCTGGGGTCCAATACATCCATTCATACACACAACAATATAACAAATAAACAAAGACAAACAGCAAGTCCATCTCCTCTAGTAGAGTTAGAGTTCATACAGAAGAGGAAAAAATAAATGGCAATCCACTAAACAGACAATCTGCAAAAGAACACAAAATCATCGTCCTCACATTTTCTTTCATACATATACAAATGATACAACATACAAGTTCACCTTCTGTATATTTATACATTTTGATAAACATGAATCATTGTCTGGATAACCTTTATAACTAAATCTCTAACCATCCTTTTTACAGACATTAATTCCAAGAAAAAGAGAAACTTAATACATTTCACATCAAACGGGCCTACATGTCAGCCCTGTGACTGACTAGCGACAAGTCCAGGATGTACCCTCACTCTTGTCCAATGTCAGCTGAGTTAGGACCCAGCCACCATAACTCTGGACAAGTGGTATAGATAATGAATGGCGTGGATGCCATTTTTAGTCCCTGCATATCACCTTTCCATCAGTAGACCAAACAGCAGCAGCTTCTACCTTTATTCAACTCCATCCTGAATGTGAGACTGGAGTTTAAAAGCTATAAAGGTTATAATCTGCTGTCATTTATTTAATTTGAAAAGCAGTGCAGGTGTTGTACTTACTACAGACAACCACAAGGGGTCAGTATACTAAAAGCAAACTAAATCCTCCGCCTAAACCATAAAGTCTGCAGATGATGTAATCAGTTCCCACGGGTGTTCTGGGACAGTCTGAAAAGGAGTTGTTAAAATAACTCTCTCCTTTAATGGAGGACTTGTGAACAGGTCACAAACAATAACAAGGAGAGTTTGTTTTCTGTGCAGGACAACAACAACATGAAAAATCAGCGCCTCTTTTGAAGTAATCTGAGACAGATTTGTTCCTTTTCACATGAACTAAAAAGTAAGATGAAATATTTATTAACCGAGTGGAAAGCAGCGTTTCTTCCACTCTGAATTGGATTGGCTGTCGCTCAGCATGGTGTCACTTCGCCTTCAGGTGAAGAAATACTTGCTGCTCTTGTATTGAGTTCAGTCTCATCCCATCAGACGCTTCTCCCCCTCTAATCCCATCACAGGATCTAAAGCCACCGAGGGAAGCAGCTGAACAGTCAGCAAATCTCCTCAACTGACTCTGCAGGGGTCGGACTGCGCACAGTATCAGACAGTTCACACACTCTAATTGTCACTGCAGGAAGTGATGTTTTCACATCCTGCTGGTATTGGTGTAGCACTTGAGTAAAACATCTGGTTTGTTTCCATGCACTAAATAAAATTAACTTTAAAGTGAGCTGTCAACTTTCAGCGACCATCTTCCATTTCTGTTAAATATATATCAATATTTTTTCTTCTTTTTCTGTAACT